TCAGACACCCGTTACTGCATCGTAGAACGGAACATTCCTCTTCGAATACAGCTGAACTTCTACCTTACTCCTTCATGTTGCATGCTGGCTTCCGGGTCCACATTTGCCCTGCCCACACGAGATGGGGCAATGGTTTATACTCAACCAAGGCCGAGGACCAACCTTATTTTTTTATTCCCTACATTAACTGAGTGACCCGCGTCTTTAAATAATAAGACCATTCATTATAGCCATTCAATGGAATGAAGTCTAAGTTCTGTCATTTATAACTCTCATTACGCGTTGAAGACAACGTTGCTCTACGCAGTTCAATCGCCGTTCTTGCTCCTTCTCTAGAAGGAATGTCGTCGTCGTCTCAGTATCAGGGTCAAATCGAGTACCCAAAATAATGACGTCTGACGCCTTGGCTACTCAGACTGATTTAGGCGATGTTGGTTGCTATGACAGAGATCATGTTCTTCGTCGCAAGCAAGTCCGCTTCTAGCAGCTGTTTTAGGGCGCAATGCTGGCCTTCGACGCGCCTGTGGCCATCATTTGCTCCTTTGCTTTCAAGAAACGAACTGTTTTGGAAAGATCTCCATTCTCTCTCCTGATGGTTCTGTCAAACCACGACAGTTGCCGGTCCCTGATTTCTTCAAATGGCACTCTCAGGCCGGTTAGCTCCAAGATCTTTTCATTCTTTATTCAATGGAACCATCGCACTTTCAGAATGCTCCGCAGGCAGCGCTGCTGAAAGTGTCCAACACCTTTTCATTACGCTTTAAAAGGGTTGACGCTTCGTGGCATAAGGACATGAGGACTGAGAAGACAGCTGCTTTCAATATGGTGATCATTGTCCCCTGAAGTTCACAGATGCCAGCCCTAAGTACCGCTATACTTCCATATCGCATCTTCCACTTTCTATCAGTACATAGCTGAGGTATTTGAAGTTCACGATCTTTCCAATGGTCATTTCACTCCACTGAATCTTTGGGTAATTAGTGAAGTCAGGTGCTCGCAAGTTTGTTTTGGTGGGATTAACTGCTAGGCTCACCGTCAAGACAACCATCTTGAGTTAGTACCAGTAAGCCATTGGCAGAGTCTCTCGACAGCGCAGTGTCATCAGCGCATTTGAGATCTTTACGAGTACTGCTAGATACCTTTGGCTGAGTCGTCGTCTGATAGTAAATCTCGCGCTGTTGTTGGGGAGGACGCTCCTCCGTATCACATAATTCACCACTAGATTGAATAATCGAAGTGAAAGCACCTCTTCTTGGCGCACTCTACTGTTGATGTCAAACCTTTCCGACAACTATTCCTTTGCTTTGATGGCGCCTTTACTACCTTCGTACAGTCCTTTTAGCAGACCAATAATCTTGTGCGATACACCATAGTATCGTAGTGTGTTACAAGGACCGGCCCTGTACCGAGTCGAAAACTGCTAGGAGGTCGAAGAATGTTACATGCCATGGTGATTAGAAGCTCCTTCCCTGTTCGAACATTTTCTTTAGTAAGGCGATGCTATCCGTACATGAGAGTCCAGTTCGAAACCCTGTTTGATTTGACAAAAACGAATCGTCAATTGCTTCTTCAGTCTTCGAAGGAGGATTCGCGCAAATATTTTTTCCAGCATATACAGAAGCGTGATCTTGCAGTAGTCAGCACAATAAGAATGATTCCAACGTTTGAATATGAGAATACTCACGCCCTGCTTCCAGTTCTTAGGGATTTCCGACTTCCGCCAGATGCTGTCAAAAACCAGATGGATCCAGTTCGATAGGGTTTCGCCTGGGCATTTCAGAATTTCCGCATTAATCCTGTCATGCTCGCAAGATTTCGAACCTTGGCAGAGATGTGTTGCATGTCGAATTTCATCTTTCAGTGAAATGGAGCATTCAACTTCCAGTTCTTCCCAGCCTTCGAACTCTATTTCGAGGTAATCCAATGGAGCGGGCCGGTTTCAGAGATCACCGAAGTGTTCAGCCCATACCCTCTGAAGGCTTTCTGAATCTGGAAGTGGTTCTGTTGGACTTGCTGCGAATCAAACAAGTTAGAGGCATATGTCTGCTGTCATTGATGGTGATATGGACTTGTCTGCAGAGCGTCTTCCGGCCCTTCCTCAAAGCGGCTTGTTCCAGGTTCTGCGCTTCGAGTTGCATACGGTGTCATTTGTCATAGCGATAACTCTTATTGACTGCTTTCTCGAGATATCGATTCTCTCGCTTCTTCGTCTCTTCAGGGTTCTCCTGCTTCGCCGCTTTTCTTCTTTAGTGAAAAGTGAGGGTTTCTTCCGAAATCCACGGGTGCTTCGTCTTTTTACTTATAAGTTTGTTGTGGCACCGACGATACCCTCTTTGAGCTGTTGGTACAGCAACTCGGAGTCCTGGCAGGTCATCTCCTTTACAGCAACAAATCTGCTGTTGATCTTGTCTTAAAACGCGGCGCAAGTTTTTGGATCTTTTATCTTGCTGATATCGAATCGAACGTTCTCCCATTTCCTGCTATTCTCCGGGACACAGTCAATTGGAGACGAAGCTTTGCGACTACTTTACCACTATGAAGTGGTCCGAGCCAATGTCAGCTACGCGTCGTGCCCGGGTTTCGTGAAGGACGCTTCGCCACTTCCTGCTGACCAATATGTGGTCCAGTTGGCTTCTGAAGTAGTCATCTGGCGCTGTCCACACCAGCTGATGGATTTGAGAGTGGGGAAACAGCGTACTGCTTACGGTGAGGCCTTGCTGGAAACAATGGTCCAATAG